GAAGAAGAAATGTTACCTTGCACAAGAGGCCCTCAAAGAAAAGGTTTTGCATGAAAAAACCTGTTCTGAATCTGCTTAATTAATAGTGTTTTCCTCAGAAATTACTTAAAATTACTTAACCATTTTAAACGGGGTCCAAGATAAACGTTTTGAGTAGAGCAAAATCAACTAGTCTCTGTTTTTGTTTCATCAGGAGAGGAAGTCCCTAAGTCTGTCTGTGACTGATGCTCCAGCATCCTCCACTCCTACACTGTCCCGTTCCAGTTCTGTCAGTGGGGCTGAGCATGCCGGATTACCTTCCTCCCTTTTCTCACAGGTATGTTCATCTCACCCCCTGTCCATACTTATTTAGATGCAGTGAATCTTTTCTCCTCTTAGATATCTCACATTGTGTCATCACCTCACCTGGCTTCTGTGGTTGTTTTTTTTAGCAGGAGGATTCTCTTGACCATTCTTTCAGCACCATGACCATGTCCATCAGTGGGACTAACCTATATGAGGCGGCTCGACTGGGTGGTGGATCCAGTGTCATTGAGAGCCTGCAGTCTCAGCTCAAACTCAGAGAGGGCGAGATTGTCCAGCTGCAGGTATGCCTTGGTCTTTCACTAGAATTAATTCTATGTACACTTACATCTTCCATGTTTATAACCAGATTGTGGTTTATAACTGGTTGTGGAATTAATGTTCTAATTTGTATTCAATTCTTTTGGTCATCCTCAAGATGGAGATTGCTAGTCTAGAGAGAAGCCGCACTGTCATGACAGAAGAACTGGTGCGACTGACCAATCAGAACGATGAGATGGAGAGTAAAGTGAAGGAAATCCCTAGACTGAAAGTGCAACTGAAGGTTGTGTTTGTGTTTAATAGTTAAAAATATATAAATAATTGTTTGTTTGTTTTTATGCTCATCGAGGCTCCATTTATTTGATAGAAAATACAGTAAAAACAAATATAGTTAAATATTATTACATTTTAAGAGAGGTTTTCATATGTTAATGTTTTGATTTATTCCTGTGATGGGAAAGCTGAATTTTCAGTAGCCATTACTCCATGATCCTTCAGAAAGTTCACAACGGAACGGAAAGATCAAAAGAACAGCATTTGGTTAAAATATAATTATTTTTAACATTAAAAATGTCACCTTTCTGTCTCTTTTAAATCAATTTAATGTGTCCTTGCTAAATGAAAGTATAAAAAAAAGTCTTACTGACCCTAAACTTTGAATGGTAATGTAAATGTTGAAATTCTTTTTTCATGCCGAATACGTGTCTAGAAATTGAGTTTATTAAAATTGTTCCCCATTACAGTGTACCCTCTGTAAATATAGACAAAATGAATTGAGTTTTACATCCTGTTTAAACAATTTCACCATTCCTTCATAGAGCGTGCTAGATGATCAGTTTGCTAACGAGCACAGTAATAGGTATTAGACTTTTATTCTGTTAGTTAAACGCTAATCAGATGTTTGTGTTCATCACAGGATCTAGAACAGAGGCACAACACAATTCTGCAGATGTATGGAGAGAAGGCAGAGGAGGCAGAAGAGCTGCGTCTGGACCTAGAGGATGTGAAGAACATGTACAAAACGCAATTAGATGAACTATTAAAAAATCAAAAATAATTGACTCTGCAAATGGACTGACACCCACTGACTGTAAACAGAACTTCACATCTCAAGAGTGTTGGTAATACAAGACCAAGTAATTTAAATGTATTTTATTCTGAGCGAAGAGTTTGTTCAACATATTTCAAGGATCAGTGATATGGTTATTTAAGATTCCTCTCACGGTTGTGGGATTTTATTTGAAATGATTTTTTCTCAATTAGTAAACATGTTTGGTTTAAGAAATTCTATTATTATCTATTCGTGTATGGGTGTTTAGGTTTGGTGGTTTCATAACTCTTGAATTTGCACAATGAAGGGAGACTTTATGAGTTCAGACTTTACACGTTTGGATTATAATCAGAATGAATGAATGGCTATATTTTCCTCTGATCTTCATGTTCTGGACTGCGCATCTTACTGGTAAGCAGTTGATTTGCTGTTGACTGTCTCTTTTCATTGTAGACAAGTAAATATGAGTACCACACATCCTTAGTAGACTTTAAAAGTCAAGTTTTGCACTCTTTTTATTTTTTTTATCTCATCTCACGCTGATTGAGTTTTAGTGAGGAGGATGAGGGAATCCAGGAAAATCTTTAACTCATATTCTATGAGATATGATCCCTGTAAATCATAAATTACAGTAAAGACTGTCTGATGTCAGTTTTATGCACACGTAAATAAAGTAAGAGATATGTATTGGGCAGACTGGATTTGTTTTCCTGCTTTATTAATGTTTTAATATTTAGGAATTTCTAAGATATTTTGAATTGTATGGTAATCATTATTATTAATCTTTGCCTTCATTTGTTTTCCAGCTTTATTGTTTTTGATGTTTAACAATGATGTTATTTTTAATTATATGGTAATGAATATATTATTATTATTATTTGCATTGCTTTGCTTAATTAGTTTTTCAGCTTTGTTAGTTATTTTCTAAGATTGTTTTATTTATATGGTAATATGTTATTATTATTACAATTATTACAGTTGTTATATCAACAAATATAGTATAATTAATCTCTGCTTTAATGTTTTCTAGCTTTATTGTTTTAATGTTTAATAATTACTAAGATATTTTTTAATTGTATAGTAACAAATATATTATGATTATTATTAAGCTCTGCTTTTTTTTTTTTTTTACTTTTTAATTAATTCTTTTTAGTTGTAACGATTATTATTATTATTATTAGTATTCATTACTGAGTCTTCTTGGACGTCTACAGAACATAATCGCATAATCAACAGTGTAAAATGAGAATCTACTCCTGCACCCTCTTTCGTTTCCTAAATGTAACACATGCCGGTTTATAGTTTCCGGTAGTATGGCGACTGCATCCCTAAATGCACCCAGTGCCGCTTCTTAATTTCTCTAAGGTGAACTTTTCCACAACATTCTAATTTATTGAGATGCACCTGTACTATAAGTCAGAACAAATTCGTTAACTATTTTGGGCATGTGTGTTTTGCGTTAGAAAAGGCAGCTGATATAATTGATGCTGGGACAGCTGTGATAGCCCCTGACCCTGGCAACGTGTGAAGTATTTGTTGTTGCTGCGGTTCCCCACTTAGTTTGCAATATTATTATTTTTGTAATGTGTGATTTTGGCATTGCTGTGTATTGCATTTGGCTAAGTTATCACAGCTCTGTAGTTTGAATGCTTCCTTTAACCAAGAAAAAATTAATTATGGTATCACCAACTTTTACAATGTATGTAACTTACAGAAATTCAGAGGTCTAAAATCAAGTACATCTACTCTTCTGCAGGATTTGTAATTGAGCTGCTCCATGAAGCGGATGGGATCTGAATACAGTGCATCTTTGTTAATCTGACTGATCTGCCCTGTCTAGACAGATCGCTTTAGACACTGAATTTACTAGTCTAATAGCTCAACATCGCGTGCTAATCATACAGTCCAGCAATTGGTACTGCTGTAAATCATAAGTAATTAACAAGGCATCTCTTTTAATTAATGCCAGAAGCTTGTCAGAATCTTTCTGTCATTGTGTTAAATATATAAGGAGTTTTATTGTAAACTTTGATTGCTATAGTGATTTGTGCAAAGATTGCTCAGTTGGTTCATTTGGAGTTCTCTGGTCGCATTTGCACACCGTTGTTGTGTCCCACCTCCCCACGGGTTTTTAATAATTATGTAATCTGTAATTACAAGGCAACACAAAGAATGTAGTAATTTTCTCTTGCAAAAAATCACCATAGCATCAAACTAAATATCAGTTATAAAGAGAAAATATTAATTTTTATTAATTTACTAACAATAGGCTATATTAATTTATAATGGTTGACAAATCACTTTAATAAATGACACATTACACATGTCCCATGACTTATTTTTAAAGTCAGAAATCTTATGTTTATGCTGTGGTAACTATATGCCAAATTTAATTTGATCAAATATTATCTAATATAAAATTGATCTATTATGAAAAAAGGTTTCATAATAAAAAAAAGTTTACTGCACATCAAATATCTGTGGTCATTTTGGCATTTTGGATTTTGTATTGTAAAAAAAAAAAAACAGTTTATGAAGTTTATCAATAACTACAAACCAGCATTTGCTGAGTGATAATTACAGCTCGATTTTATTTGTATGTATGTATGTATTTATTTCATTTCATTTTATTTGATATTAATTTAATGTTAATTGCTGGAAAGTTACAAAACCACATACAACAAATTAGGTTGTTAGTAATGGTTGAAATAAAAATGGGAAATGATACAATTTTAAAACTTAAAATGTGTGAGTAAATAAGAAATTATCTGTGATCAATTGTGAGCAGTGAATTTATTTTCGCTGATTCTATTCAGATACGCAGTGATAATGCTGATGAAAAATAATAACAGATTTGGGCATTATGGATAAGTAAAATAGTTAATGATCTTACAGAGCATTTTTATATATCTAATAGTCAGAAACTAGAATTTCATAATGATTTTATATAGAAATCCTCACTGCTGTCTTTCAAAATTAACCCAGATCAGTGAACATATTACATGCCCATCATTTCCGTCATAACTTATATACAGTATGTCTGTAATTCCCACGGTCCTTGTGCATCAGCTATGAGCAGAATGTGTACTTGTTTTTCTATTAAGTTCCCTCAATCCTGGCCTTATTGCTTAAACAATTGAAGGAAAAAGGTCACTAATATTTCCTGTGGTAGGAGTTCCACATGGAGAAAGATCCGTTCATTTGCAGGTTCCCACACTATGGATACTTCCAGAGCTTTGGTGTTTGACCTCCCCTGTAAAGCATTTGTTTTCTTTCTCTTAACACTCTTGTGCTCTCTCTCTCTCTCTCTCTCTCTCTGCCTTTCTCATAAATGATTGTAGGTGCTGAGAGCCAGTGTGTTTCCTTCCATGTGGCTTGAGAGACTATGCTGCTGCTGGTAGCTCTGTGCCTGGTCTGCACTTATAAAACCATCTCGGCCGCAGACCACAGCTGGACTACAGCAGCCTGGCGCTGCCTCAGCTGCATATTCCTTTCTTTCTGCACAACAACAAACGACTGGCCAAACTCTGCAAGGAGGACCCACTTTGCCCTTTTAAGGTAAGCCATTTTCTCTTGTTTCTGATTGAATGTCTGGTGAAGTTGCTTTAAAAATCAGTGGGATATTCTCCAAGGACATTGTCGTGCATCAACTATAATAATTTTCAAACGGGGCAATGGAGGCTGTTCATTTTAGCCTCTGTTGCTTGTGACTTTATCACTAACATTTAGTGTTGTGCATATGCTGTAGATGTTTATAAATGAGTTGTTCTCTTAGCTTTGTGTGTCTCTGTTGGCTGGCAGGATGCTCTGCTGCTCAAGAAGGCCTGCTGGGGTTATGAAAAGAGCTGCTCCCCTGAGCACAGGTTCAGCTATCCTCTGTGCACCAGTCTTGACTCGGGATGGTATACTTTTCTTTGCTGACCTACTCAAATAAGTCACATTTTTGAAACACTTTTATATTTTCTCACTATCTACTTACTATTTACTCACCCTCAAAGCTATTGAATAGCTTTAAGTGATCAGAATGTATATGGGACACTTTTTGGAGATTGTAGCCAATGATCACGGTCGATTTTTATTGTATGGAAAAGTGGAGCATTAACATTTAACAAAATATCTCCTTTTGTGGACGACAAACGGTTGGAATCACATGAGGTTAAATGATGACAGAAATGATATTTTGTTGTGAATACCAAGCAGTATTTGCAGATATTGCCTACACTATTCCTCAGATGTTGGTATGATTTCTAAATGTTTTTTAGTCTCTTATGCTTACCAAGCCTTTGATCAAAAAATACAGCAAAAACAGTTAAATTGTGAAATATTTTAGAACGAGCCGTTTTAGGTAGGCGTGGTTGACTCTTAACTTTTATAAAGAATATGTCTTTGGATTTGAGACTTATTTCCACTCCAAAGAGAAAGGAAAAATTGAAATCTAATCTAAAATATGATTAAAAACCATGCTGTGTATTGTAAATAACAATGTTTTATACTTTAAATAATAGTTTAAGTATTAAAATAACAAACGCAAATGGGGCAAAAATGCGTTTTAAGTTTATAAATATTTAAAACATCAACAAGTAATCCACATGACTCCAGTCCATAATGTCTTGTGAAGTGAAAAATAGTGGGTTTTAAATAAACAAATCCTTCATTTATAATTCTTTTTACTTCAAACCGTTCCTCGTCTGACTTAGGAGAGACATATGCACAGACCAAGCAGCGTTTACAAGAGAAAACAGTCCAAAATGATTTTAAGCAAATATGTTGGTAGATTTTGATGTGAAAGGACAGCAGGGGATGGACTTTTTTTACTGGAGGAAATGTTTTTCTTTTTATTAATTATGGGCTCCTTAATGATAAATTTGTTTCTTACAAACGCACAGCTTTTCACTTCACAAGATGTTAGTTGATGGACCTGAGTCATGTTGATCACCTGTGGATTATTGTGATCACTGCATATTTATCAGCTGTTTGAACTCTCATTTATTTTGTTGTTTTATCTATCAGAGTTTGAATGGATATGGCGACCTGTTCAGCGAAACGTGGAAGGCTTTTACCGATTATGTCATCATTCACCTCAAAAACTTTGACTCCAAAAGGGTAAAAGGCATTTGCTCCATATCACTTCACATTTTTCTCAGCAACTGACTGTTTATTTAAAAGTGTGTTGTTCACAGGTGTGTTTCAGAGATGTGTTTTTCTCACTCCTTCCAAGAATGCGATATGGCCTTTTCTACAACACTCCTCTTGTACGTATCCTACACGCCTCTCATTTGTTTCTTCCCCCCCCATTTAGCATTTGTTCATCTCATCATGTTCATCTGCTGTCATTTGTCTATGTTAATGCGTCTCTGCGTGACATCGGTGGATGCTGTGTGTGTGATATAGAACATTTGCCTTGTGTGAGACTGAACTCATCTGGTGCTGTCGCTCAAATCATCCTCATATTAATGATTGTGTGCCTCTGCCCTCTGTGTGCAAATGACATATAGAGAAGATTTAACTGACAGATGTGTGTGTGTCTGTGTAATTTGATAGATCTCTGACTGCCACAGCGAGGGGCTGTTCAAGGCATTTTCCCAGCATGTGCTTTATCGACTTGGTGTCTCACAAGATGGACCAAAGGTAAACATGCTTGAATCCACACGCACACAAATACAGATCATGATTTGATCCCTGTATTCTCATAGTTTCATTGAGAAACAGTCATACTCTCTGAATGAAATAATAAAATATGTAAACACAACTTATACGTTATATGAACTGTTTTAATGCATTAATTTTGAAATTGTTATGCTCATAAACTCAACAATCTCATCCTCCTGACATAAACACATTGATTTCACCTTCACAAAAAAGGTATATATTTTTAATTTATATAATTTTAAATAAAGAATTATTAAATTAAAATGTATTGTTATTATTATTATTAGTAGTATTATTATTTATACATTAATTTTATATTAAATTAATTTAGTCCATTTAAATAAATGATTAAATTATACTTTCATGTTTATATTTATTTTTATTTAAATATTAAATTGATTTTAACTCTTATACGTTTAAATAAATAATAACTTTATAATTGTATGTTATATTAGATTAATTGTACTTATACATTTAAATAATTATTACATGATATGTTATTTTTATTCCATTTTAAATATGCATTTAAATTATTATAACTTAAAGAATTATTATATTATAATATATATATTTTTTAGGTATAAATTCAAAAGTCTTTGCCATAAACTTTTAAATAGGTGGCTTTGCAGTAATGTTTAGATTAATGTCATATATATTATAGTGTAGTTAGTTATATGACTTACTTTAAGGTATTGATATGATTAAACTATCTACCACTAGATGGCGATGTTGGACAACTTATTATTTTATTGTCTTTGTGCTTGTCAATAAGGCCCAGTTCTTTCTTTCCCCACATTTACTTTCTCTTTCCCCTCCTAATTAAAGGTTTAAATAATACATTCCTATATCTGAAACTGGATTATAGATGTTATAAAATATATGTAGCTTATATATTCATGTTCAGATACAAATGTGTGTTGAAATATGTATGAAATCTGTGATGTCCTTCTGCTCTGTCAGGAGGGCCAAGTCCGTGTCAAACTGTTGGCAAGAAGCACGGAGTACCGTAGGATAATAAACCAGCAGGAGGTGAGTGCTCTCTCTCTCTCTTTGCTCATCATTGATTTATCACTCTGCTTCCGTAACTGCCCATTTAAACTCTTATTTGCTGGAGAAACCTTGCTTGGTAAAAAGCCTTGATTTACTTGGCCTCTGTCCACATGAGTGTGAGGTCTCGTTAATCACCCTCTGAATTCCTGCTGTGTGTGTGTGTGTGTGTGTGCAGCTTATCAGTGCCCTGAAGACTGTGCCTTTATTCGAGGTCAAGCTGGTGGATTACAAATACGTGCGTGATTCAGTTTATGTTGGTTTTAAATGTATCGATTTCTTTAGAGAAGGCTGAGTTTGGTGCTTGTGTGATTGAAAGCTGATGTGTATTCGTAGGGAGATGCCATTTCTGGAGCAGATCCGCGTCACACACAACTCTGATATCTTCTTTGGGATGCATGGAGCCGGACTGACCCACCTCCTCTTTCTTCCCGACTGGGCCGTCATATTTGAATTGTACGTGGCTTTTGTATCTCTCTGCTTTCTATATGATCTGTGTGGACAGCCACACTGTCTACTGTCAGTCTGAGGAATGTAAATACTTCTTCACTTTTTCTAAGGCACTTTAAAACCCTCTGAGTTCATATGAACAGTTATTAGTTTAAATAATGTTTATACCATTTCTGAAGTCACACTTTGAACATGTTTGTATTAACCCAACCAAACGGGATATTTTGAGGTTAGACACTATTTATAGAAACGTAAACATCTATTTCGCATTATAAATGACAAATATGAGAAGCATTAGCATGATGGACTTCAGTCCTAAGAGGAAAAAGGGAGTTGCTTATCCTTATGTCTTTTGTTAACTTTAGACCAAGAAAAAAAAAAAATCAAGATCACTCAGTTTTATTACTTTTATTATATTCCCTTTTTTATATTGAGAAAATGATGTTGTGACATGACAAAGCAACAGAAAACAATAATAATGCACAGCCTTATAGGACTTCATTATTGTACTATACCTGCTAATAATTTTTCTATATACTTACAGTACTGTTAAAAATGTTGGGTTGGTAAAAATCATCAGCATCATTACGTCAGTCTTCAGTGTCACATGATCCTTCAGAAATCATTCTGATTTGTTGTTCTGCTGCTAAAGACACATTTCTCATTATTATTATTAATGTTGAAAACAGTTGTGCTGTTTAATAGTTTTGTGGAAACCATGAAGCGGGTTTTTTTTTTCAGGTTAATGAATAGAAATGTCAGAAGAACAGCATTTATTTAAAATAGAAGTCTTTTGTAACATTATAACATTTACTGTCACTTTTGATCAATTTAATGTGTCCTTGCCGAATAATTAAAAAAAAAAACGTACTGACACCAAACGTTTATTCCCAATGACTCTTCAAAGAACAGCAGAAACAGCAAAGTGGGCGATCGATGAAGGTTTTCCAATGACTGATTCTTACAATTTTATCATTAGACCCCCCCTCTGACAACCATCATTTGTGAACATTTGGTTGCATCCTTGCACTTTAGAAAAGTGTCTTTCTGTTTCTCCACTGATAAATGAATACATCACGATTGGCTTCAGAGCGCTGTTTTTCCTCGACACCTATCTGCACGTGTTAAGACATATTCCCCAGTGTTCATCTGTGCGTCTGACACTCATGTCGTGTTATACATCCACCAAATACTCAAGTGGATGCAGTCAAGCTTCTGTGCTGTACAATGTACTTCTTAATGTGTGTTACGGAGGAGGGAAGCATCTGACTGTGTCTGTATGTGTGTGACAATGAAATACAGCCTAATTAAACAGTTATCCATCAAATGGAGTCTGTGGAGGCTTTGTGGGCCACCGCCTGCTAAGTTTGGGACATAAAACATCCCTCTTTCTGTATTCCACAGGTACAACTGTCAAGATGAGAGCTGCTACCGTGATCTGGCCCGACTGAGGGGAGTCCATTACATGACTTGGCAGAAAAGGGACAAAGTGTTCCCCCAGGATAAGGTGAGGAGAGCACACACACCGCTGCCTGGATTCACTCCAGTTTACTATATTTAATCCCAGTATTCCTATATACAGTAACATTCAGTTTAAATCATGTTAGTAGCTTCAAACTAGTGGCACAACTTCCTATTAGCAAGTTAACTATTAACTATTTGAAAAAATTCTATATACTTTCTATTAATTATGATGCGCGCACACACACACACACACACACACACACACACACACACACACACACACACACACACACAAAAACACACAAGCGTTTGTGCACAGAAATAT